AAAAAAAGGGGGGGGGGGAAGAGAAATTTTTGAGCCTCTAAATCCATTTTCAGACAGGACCCAGAAAGAATGCTGAAATTTTTCATGGAGAGGGGTTGGAAGTCAGTAAAATTCTGAGAACATTTAATGGCCAGGACACCATACAAGGAACATTTGTGAGTAGATGATCAGGCATCTTTATGACTTCCTAGTTACCATGTCCATCTAATCGGAAAAAATCTATCCATCATCTACCATCTACCTTCACTGAGAACAATGCTACTGTCCACTCCAGTTTCCCAGTCAGAGCAGATTGCCACGAACAGTAGCAATAATGACATCCCCTTCTGTCCTCACAGGAACTGAACACAGAAATAGAGCTGCTGGAATTCTTCTGCACTCTTCTGCCAGCTCTCTTGCCAGGATCTAGCTGTAAGACAGACTGGATCCAGAGACTGGCTTCATAAAGTGAAAAACAAAACAAAATAAAAAACACAACCCCCAAAAAAACCCCAACGACCAGATGTGCCCAATAATTGAGAAGAGACTCTTCCTCTCATATTGTTACATGAAACTTCCAGCATTATGTGGAAACAGCTTTAGCTAATCGGAACTCAGGATTTTGCTCCTGCCACTGATCTTTGTGCAATTCACTTCCCTCATCTATGCCTGGATATCCCTTGTCTAAATGGGGATGACAGCACTTTCTCAGGCCTTGGTGGTTTTGTGATGTTTAACCCTTATTAACATTTGCAAAGCAGATTGGGACCATTGAATGGAAGGCTGAAAAGAATTTTCAAAGCTTTATTATTAGCGAGAAAAATATTGGGGGAAAAAAATATCCCAGTTAGGAGCAGAAGACTCTGTTCCCCTTCTTGATGTGACAGTATTCAACTCTCTGGGACCAGTTTAACCCTATTCTGTAAGGCCGTTCTCTGTCTCAGCTGACTCTGAACAATCATGCTCTGCAGCCACCTCTTTTCATACCCATTACAAAAGGTGAGCAATATTTATTGGTTCAAGCAGGGCCAAGGGCTGACATTAAGCAAATTTCAAGGGTTATTTGAAGTTAATTGAGTTTAATCATGTAATGATTTTATAATTAGTCATAGTTCCCAGTCTTGTACTGAAAAAGTCACACTTAAGAATTATTTAAAAGAAAATTAAAGCCAATTTAGACTAAGCAGGAGGAAACTACATCTGTGATTGGTGGGACTGGGTGAGGGGATCAGAAAGTGTGCTGGCTAAATGCACTAACTGCTTTAGTGCACTGAACCTCTGCCTTTAAGTGCAGTGAGCTGAGGTCCCAGCTGGGGTCTTGCACTAAGGGTAAGGACAGCTGCAAGGTTCCAAATATTAGTCATGGTGACTTGGTGGTATTTCTCACTGGCAACGAGTTCGATAGATCCTGCCCCAGGGGAAAAGAAACTTCAGAGTTTTTCCATCTCACTGGAGCCAGGTCCACCTACCTGATTCAAGGGCAGAAAACGTGTTTATACATCGTTAAGACAGGACTTGCCAGTGGAAAACTATACTCCTCAGTTATATAGGAGAACGTACGTTCTATAAAGCAGTTCTCTAGAACTTCAAGCAGATCCTCAGAAGTTGAATCCGAAATGTTGGTGGGTTTTTTTAAAAAAAAAAAAAAAAAAAAAAGATTCCTGTGAAAATGGCATGCACAGAATAAATGAGGTGTAAAGAAGATCAGCATCGATGAGTTCAGTGAAGTTATGACAATAATCCATCACCCATTCTATCCCCAACTCCGCAATTCATTCAGGACACAGGCAAATAACCACCTGTGGAACACAGCACCTCAGAAAGTAAGACTAAATCTCTGCTTAGGGGTAAAGGACTTGCTTAGGGAATAAGTACTCACAGATCATACAGCTAGCTACCTGCTTGGTAACAAGTACCACTTCTCCTCATTTCCCCCTCATCCATGACACCCCTTACAGCAGTGTTAAATGGTCTTGATGAGCTGGGTTTCACCAAGTGATATTAAAACATAGCATAGAATGGTGGGAGTTTGCTGTGTTTAAACACCATGTGTTTCTCTTAAGGGTGGAGGCAACATGCAAGTCAGCCTCATATATTTTCACTGTCCGAGTCTCTGTATACCCTGAAAATCCAGTCTCT